TATATATATATATATATTTCATAATATCTGCAGAGTCTCAAGAAAAAAGCTACAATCTTAATTTTAATTTTGATTTTAGTTTTAATAAAAATTGAAATTTTAAGACTAGATTAAGTTTTATTACTTTGAACCTTTATGATATATTTAAAATAAATTTTTACGTACTTGTGTAACTATTGCTAAAACGAGAACTATGTCAATGAATTTGAGAAAATCTGTTGCAATTATTTCTAAATCAAGATCATGCAGAAGCAACAATAGTAATGTTAACATCCGATCGGTGCTGCCACGCGCGGAGTCTGTGAGTGACAAATGCAAGATGATAAGAGAGATTATGTCAGCTTTCTTTTAATTATTTGGATGAATTAATTTGATATTTAACTGTTGTTAGTTTTAATAAAGAGAAATTGCATCCAATGAAATTCGCCTTTATGATTGCAATGATACAGCAGATTCTGAACAATTGTACGATGATAAACAAAGATTTTATCGCGCAACATAAAATGCTTTTTTTAGGATTACTCGGACGTTTTTTTTAATGACAGATTTTGTAACTAATTTGAAATTAATTTTTTGTTAGCAAAAATGTTAATGAAAAATAATCTTCCTTAACATTTTTGCTAACAAAAAATTAATTTCAATATTTTAGTTTCTAATACTTAACAATTTGACAAAATAAAGAAATTAAATTGACATTCTTGCGTCAAGTGTAAAAATAAATAGTTATGGAGGCTTGTGCGTCAAAGGCACGCAATTTTATTTCAAAGGGCAGTCACGCTTAGTGAGCCCAATTGTCGTATCGTGAACAATCGGACAATAATAGTGCGCAATGATGCATTCTCGCAAGTTCCCTGAACCTTTGCAATACGGAATACATGCATTATTGATTGAAACTATCATGTTCTCAATTTACGTCACGATGCACACTAATATGATATTGACCACATATATCAACAAATGGTTAAATCGATTTCTCTTTCATTAAATATGTATAGGTTTACCTGTATTCGATCGGTTTATATCAGATGTGTTATGCGTTTTATAATAAAGGTATAATTTCCTAATAAAATTAATGTAAGAAATTTGAATTATTTTATTAATCTAAGTATAATCTAAATATTTTTTAAATATCTTTGAAATGATGATTATATTTCAAATTAAAATTGTATTAGTGTTTACCTCAAATTAAATAAATGGAAAAATTTTACTATATATTTGCATCCCTTAAGGCTAAATTTAATGGCTTATATCTCTTCCAATTTTTTTCCACATATGTTTTGCTCCGAAATGTGAAAAAATCTTATAATTATTAAAAATCTTCTCTTTAAAGCACAATTTCAATGTATATAAAAATGCATAAATTGAGAAAAAAGTATATATTTTAATTTATATAAGATAACATATTTAGAAAAAAAAAGGAAAAGTCATCTTTTTTTCAAATACTTCAGAATTATTTTGTGGCTTCAAAAGAAGACGTTCACTATATGTATACGCGGATGTCTTACAGGTAATCAAGAGTACAGGGGCACAGTAATAAAGTGTTGAAGATGATGAATAAATTATATCGTTTCTCTTTTTTTCTTTTCTTTATAATTTTTTTTTGTTTATCTAAACATTCCTATTTTTAATATTTTCTTTATTATGCGTAGGGCCTTATGAAAAACGGCGGCGTGACCCTATTTCTCAAGTTTCTCTCTGGTTGAATTAACGTATCTTCATGGTGCGCCATCTGCAATAGAAGAGACAGGAATCCGGCTATGCCGGCGTCAATTACGATGCCGCTGGCAATGTTCCGAAACGGGAGAATGTGACGTAGAAAGCCGTCGCGTCGCTCAGTTTGCATTTGTGCGCGTGCTTGTCGGCAGCGGACGCGGCTTTTCTCCGGAATTTCCACCGGTGAGTATCGGCGGCGACGCATGATAAATTTAATTAAGATTTGATCGAT